CTTCCTCGCCTCGTCCGGCATGACGACCGCCCCCTCCGACAAAGGCAAGTCTCGCGCCCCCGGAAGACCGCCGCCGCGCCGAAGCTGAAGAAGACGCTGACGCCCGAACAACGGGCAAGGGAGTCGGCCAAGAGAAAGGGTCGGAGGCATGCGGCGGACGCGAGGTATGAAGCCATTGCGGCAGCGGCGGCGGCCGCCGCCGCGCAACAGGATTTCACCAACGCTCGCGTCGCGGCGACAACGAGGGAGGCGCTCTATATGCTAGGGTTAAACCCTGGCCAGCACAGCCTCGTCAACGGTGTTGTGGCCACGGCTAGCACCGGTTCATCCGCGTTCCCTCGGATGGTGCTGCCCGACTCACCCCGTGCGTCGGCTTGCACCCCGATGCCCGGCTTCCACGTCTACCCGCAGGCCTCCTGCCTCTCCGGGGAGTGCTCGCCCGAGGTGAGCATGGTGGCACCTTCCACGTCGGCCCGCGCCCGCGCCCATGACCTCAGCGCCACACCGGCGGCCGGCGGCTCATCATCCGGAGGCGCGAGGAAGCGCACGCGGCAGATGCCAGCCACCGTGCTGCCGGGCGCACGCAACCTGTTCGACGGAATGCCGGCCTCCGGCGATGACAACTACATGCAGAACATGATCTTCGAGGGTGGTGCACACCGCTGGCGTTGCCGCCGGGGCTGGCTACGATCCCGACGAGACACAAAGGCAGGACGGCCGAGGGGCGTTCATGCCGTCGACCTTTGATCAAGATCAGGCGGCCTTCATGCATGATCAGGTCGGCCTGGACCTGGACGGCTTCCCACTCAACCACGAGTTTTCGGAGGACTGCATGCAAGAGGAAGAGGACGAGCGCGACATTGAAAGGGAGCCTTTGTTCAAGGACGAGCTCACCAACCAAGCCGTCGAGGTGAAGCCGAAGCAGAAGAGCAAGCGGAACAAGGCATATACGGCAGCCGAGGACAAGCTTATTTGTGAGTGTTGGAGAGATATTGGGCATGACCCCAAGACTAGCTTTGAACAAAACCATTCAACTTTTTGGATTCGTGTCCACCGTGAGTTCCATGAGTGCAAGAAGTTTCCGCCGTACCAAATAGTAAGCACGCGCGGGTGGGTGTCCATTTCGAAGCGATGGAGGATGAGCCAATAAGAGTGCAACAAGTTTTGTACCACTCTTGAGAGCGTCAA